GGTTGAGCTATAGGCGCCGAGCCACCTTATATAGATTTTGGAGTTAAACAGTCCTATACTTTGAAGCAGCAGTTATGTAGACTATGTAGAACTTGCCTTTTAGAATATGGGATAAAAAGCAGATTTTCTTTATAAAAAGTAGGACAATTGTAACTTACATTTTAAATGGAGATTCATTTTGATTTTGATTCAGATTGGTTTGAGAATGTTTGCTAATATAATAGGAACAGACAGGTTTAGATCCCTCCCACTTCAATCAGCAGCTACAAGAAGGTTTAGATTTTATATATGAAAACTGTTAATACTTTTTTCTTGTCTTGGACCTCTAGAGGTTTTTTGATGTGGCTTTTGTCTTCTTAACAGTTTCGCCCCATGTCAATTCAATTTTTTTAAAACAAGAAAATATTTATTAAGTCAGCAGCAACCACCTTATTTCATTGCTGTCCCTTTTCTCCTCCATGAAAGAAACTATGTATTTTTTTAATTTTAGAAACAGAGTCTCACTTTATCACCCTCAGTAGAGTGCTGTGGCCCGTGGTATCCTCTAACTCCTGAGCTTAGGCGATTCTCTTGCCTTAGCCTCCCAAGTAGCTGGGACTATAGACGTCTGCCACAACACCCGGCTATTTTTTTGTTGCAGTCTGGCTGAGGCTGGGTTCAAACCCACCACACTCGGTATATGGGGCTGGTGCCTTACCCCCTGAGCCACAGGCGCCACCCTGTATTTTCTTTTCTTTATTTTTTTTAACTTTTCTTTTTGTTTGGGATTCATTCAGGGTATAAAGAATTAGGTTACACTGATTGCATTTGTTAGATAAAAGTTCCTCTTTAATTGTGTCCCACCCACTAGAAGTGTGTCATACACTGTGACCCCCATGCCCCTCCCTCCTTCCCCTCCCTGTTCCCTCATTCCTTTCCCCTACCCCTTATATTAGCTTATCTACTGTCTTCATATTAGAATTGAGTACAGTGGATTCTTGCTTCTCCATTTTTGTGATGCTTAACTAAGAAGAATGTGTTCTACCTCCATCCAGGTTAATACAGTACATGTAAAGTCCTCATCTTTTTTTAATGACTGAATAGTGTTCCATGGTATACATAAACTACAGTTTGTTAATCCCTTACTGGGTTGGTGGGCACCCATGTCCGTTCTTAAGTATTTAATTTGTCTCCCCCTTTGTCTAGGATTTATCCTACTACTGTTGTTTGGAGTTGAAGGGCAAAGAGGAAGAAATACTAAAGGCACTTTCTCCAATGTGTAGCATGGAAACAGGTAAACTTGTTTCAAAGCTGAGTCCTATTTTAGTCTTTGTATATTTATTCATTTCAGAACACGTGTCTACTGTAAACATTTTGGAATTTAAACATGCAAAGATGTGTGAGGCAAGTTTTCCTAATGAGTATGTTAATTCAAGAAAAGTTGGTATAACTGAAATCATTTGTAACATTGTCAGGTGTAAAGTGATTTTTCTGGTGGAGTAAACTTAGGCAGAAACTTGAAACTCTCATTAAAGAAGTCATTGAAGGCTCGGCGCCTGTGGCTCAAGGGGCTAAGGCGCCAGCCATGTACACCCAAGGTGGTGGGTTCAAATCCAGCCCGGGCCTGCCAAACAACAATGACGGCTGCAACCAAAAAATAGCCGGGCATTGTGGCGGGCACCTGTGGTCCCAGCTACTTGGGAGGCGGAGGCAGGAGACTCGCTTGAGCCCAGGAGTTGGAGGTTGCTGTGAGCTGAGATGCCATGGCACTCTACCCAGGGGGACAGCTTGAGGCTCCTGTTAAAAAAAAAAAAAAAAAAGAAGTCATTGAATATACAGGGTATCCATAAAATAAAATAGCTATTTTAAATTGCACATGAACTTCATGGACACCCTGTGTATTTATTGAGAACTTATTGTGTGCTGAGATTTGAGCTAAGCAATGCTCAAAACCAAAACATTGCCCCTGATAATTGATTAATAGTTTGATATTTATTGAGAATAAATAACAGTTTGGCTATCAGGAAATAGGATTGTATTCTCAACACTTGGAATCATGGAATTTTACTTTTGTGTATGTTAGGACTGACGTTTGCAGCAGTTCACTGCTTGTCTGGAAAGCGCCAAGGGAGCCTTGTGCTTTACCGGGCCAATAAATATCCCAGAGAAATGCTTGGGCCTGTTACCTTTATCTGGAAGTCGGAGAGGACCTCTAGTGACACTTCTGAGAGCAGGCAGCTGTGGATCTGGCTGCATCCAACTCTTAAACAGGTATAATCCTACAGGCTATTTTTCTTTTACTACATTCTTACCATTGGTGGTCAATACTGTAAAAATTTAAATAGGATAAAACTTTGCCTGATATTTGGATGGGGAGGGAATTGTATGAATATTGAATGAAAGAAATTAAATTTTTTTCATTTTAATTTTTTACATTAAAACACTTAATTGACAAAATTTGAATATATCAGAGGTATACAGTGTGACAGTTTGATAGACATATAAGTTGTGATGATTACCACAATCAAATTAATTAACAAATCCATCGCCACCCATGCTGTACATGAGATCCCCAGAACTTGTTCATTTTATAGAATGAGGAAAATCTTGATCTCTCATTTTTTAGTAAGTCATAAGAAGTGAAGATGAAAACCAACCTTAGAATAATGATTTTGAAATGTTGAATTGAGAGGGTTTGGTGCAGCGGCTCATGCCTGTAATCCTACCACCCTGGGAGGCTGAGACAGGTAGATTACTTGAGCTCAGGAGTCAAGACCAACCTGAGCAAGAGTGAAATCTCATCTCTACTAAGAATAGAAAAATTAGCTGAGCATTGAGGCTGGTATACCTGTAGTCCCAGCTACTTGGGAGGCTGAGGCAGTAGGATCACCTGAACCCAGGAGTTTTGAGGTTGCTGTGAGGTAGGCTAATCCTGCAGTACTCTACCCTGGGAAACAGACTCCGTCTCCAAAAAAAAAAAAACTGTTGAATTTAGATTGATGCTTCCACTATTACTGCTTTGGTTCTCTTTTTATCTAGGATCTTGGTAGAGCCTATTTAATAATGAGAAACTGTTTTGAATAATTCTGAAGATTTTTCACATTGCATTTAGCTTAGCTTCCCTTCTTTGGCATACTCACTGCTTTTTTAAAAAAAATTGAACCAGATCATTTTGTTCCACCTGCTGTACACTTACAAAAAATGAAAAAGCCTTTTCATGAGGATGAATTTAATTTGTGAAGAGTTAACAACTGTGAATTTTTGAAGGGATAAAAAGACATAAGCTAAACCAACTGAATTTATAATAATAATCTTAAATGTGAAAATTTAAAAGTAAATATTTTAATATATCCTTAGGATATCTTAGAGGAAATTAAAGCAGTGTGCCATTGTATGGAGCCCATTAAATCAGCTGCTTCCATCTCTGATCCACTTCCGACACCATCCCAAGGAAAAAGCCAAACTGAACTGTTGGATGAGAAAATTGGCAAGAAAAGAAAAAGGAAAGATGATGAAAAAAATTCTGTACCAGTTAAAAAAGTTGTTGGTGATGGAACTAGAGATCCATGTCAACCATATTCTTGGATCTCTCCAACCACAGGCATTATAATCAGGTATGGTTGAATTTACTGAATATTTTTAGTGAAGATGTGTTTTTGCCAGTGGCAAGACGTTGTACATTATGGAAATTTCCATTTTAAGACTTTTTCTCTTTGTTAGTGATTTGACATTGGAGATGAACAGATTCCGGCTGATTGGTCCACTTTCCCACGCCATCCTAACTGAGGCTCTGAAAACTGCTGCTGTCTGTGTGGTAAGAGTAAATGTGCCTATCGTGTTTTACTCTGGTTTTGTTGTGCTTGTCAGATTTGTGGAACCTAATATGTAATTTAGTAAACTTTTGGGCCATGGCTTTTTTTTCTTAGGAGATGGGCTCTCGCTCTGTTGCCCAGATTGGAGTATAGTGTTACTTTCATACCTCACTGGAGCCTCAAATTTTTGAGCTCAATTGATCCTTCTGCCTCAACCTCCAAGGTGGCTGGGACGCCACACCTGGCTAATATTTTTATATGTGGTAGAGAGAGGATCTTGTTGTGTTGTTCAGGCTAATCTTGAATTCCTGTTCTCAAGCTATCCTCCCATGTGTTGCCCAGGCTGATTTTGAACTCTTGGTCTCAAGCTATCCTCCTGTGTTGGCTTCTCAAAGTGGATTATAGGCATGAGCCACTGCACCCAGTCCTGGGCATGGCTTTTAAATGTTTATTTTTCTCTTTATACCTATTAGCAAAGATTTATCCTTCTCCAGAAAAAACACAAGTGAAGTATTTGTATACCTTGTTAGACATTTTCAGGAATACTGTTGTAGTGATATATCCTTCATCTGAAGATTTCTTCAAAAGATACTGGTTTGGTGTACCTTTGGAAGAACGGAGATGAAGTTGGCCATGCTGGGAGAGGACTAGGCTTCTCTCGTCAGTACTGTGCACTAGAGAGACTTTGAATGTGTAGTGCCTTAGGTAGGTAGTCCCTCTGAAATCATGGATGACTTTCCCAGTACAGGAAATCTCAAGGGAAGTGTGATTAAAAAGTCCTTGCCTCTAATTAGAAGAAGAGTTAATCTGGTATTAATTAGTATGTCAAGTACAGTGGCAACTTCTTGGTTGACTCATATTCATTCTCACACAGCAAAAAAAAAAATGGTGGCTGTATCACAACCACGAGAACATGATTAATTCCAATGAATTTGTCTATTGAACAGGAATTGTTATTTTTTAGGAAGGAGAGGACATGGAGAAGACCCCTCACTACTGGTGGATTGAAACCTGTAAGAATCCTGATAGCATTTCCCTTCATTGCAGACAAGAAGCCGTTTTTGAATTGTTGGGAGGTATACAGAGGGAGAATACTGGGTTGTACCGGGGAGGGAGACAAGGAGGGAGAAGAGGGTTAAAAGAGCCTTTTGCAGTTGGGCCTCTGCATGACCTCTGACATACAGTGTTGCTTTTTAACTTGCTATTGTTTGTTATGAGGCAACTAGAGAAGCAAGTAAAAGACTCATTGAGTAGACACTATGTTCAGGTTTGGTTATGAAGCAGCAAACAAGTGAGATTTTCAAATTCTTTTTTTTTGGCCAGGGCTGGGTTTTGAACCTGCCACCTCTGGCATATGGGACCAGTGCCCTACTCCTTTGAACCACAGGCGCTGCCCCATCAAATTCTAAATAAGTAGTGTTCTGATAATAGATAAATGCATATGCGGGTACTGACCTAAAATCTCTGCTTATTTGTGTATGACTGCATCTGAGCTCACTGGATATGTGTTGACGTCATAAAATAACTCTTTTTAAGTTCAATGTGTTTTTGTAAGAAACTTCACTCTTTATGAATGTTAATTTATTTTCTAAGAGTATCACTGGGAACAAAGGGAATACATGATTTTAAATCATTTGCCCAAGAAGAAAGTTTCATTAGAGAATCTGAAAGATTTGAAACTATAAGTAGCAAATATGTATCATGAATGACTTTCTGTATATTTCTCTCTTTTTTTTTTTTTTGATCTTTTTATTGTAAAAAGGAATAACATCACCAGCAGAAATTCCAGCAGGTACTATTCTGGGACTAACAGTTGGGGATCCTCGAATAAATTTGCCTCAAAAGAAGTCCAAAGCTTTGTCTGATCCAGTAAAATGCCAAGGTAAAGTCTTGAAATGTCCCTGGTTTTCATTATTTTGAGCAATCTGGTCCTATTAGAAGAGTTCTTTGTCTGACACTTCAGCAGTAACTTTATCTGTAAAAAATTACGGTGGTCTCTATATGCCCATAGTGTAAGGTAGTTACCATCAGCAAAGGTGGTATATGTGGAAGTGTCTTTTAGCTATAAAATGGGTAGCTTAATCTTTATGGTGGTTTTGTTTTCTGAGTTCTCTATTTTTAGTTTTTAGCAAAACCTGTCTCTCTGCAAACTGGGTTCTCTGGAAATGGCGTTTCAGAATTTTAATTGTGAGGAAGGGATCTGCACCCGAAGCTGGTCTTGTGCTCAGTGGAAGCCTCTGTCTGACCATACAGATGATCCAGGTTCGAATCCTGGCAAGGCCATCCTAGGTGCTGGAGTGTAAGATGCCTTGATTTAGATTGAGTAGAGTGGCCTGAGAAAGTTGCTTGGCTGGGGTGGTGTAGGATCAAGGGTAGGGGGCTGGCTAGAGTTTTAGTGTGATCTGGAATGTGCAGCAATTGTGATAATATCTCATTGTGTTTACTGTCATTGAAACATGATTAATTAGAAGAAAGATTGAAATTCGTTTGTAAATTTTTGGAGAAAAAAATACAGGTTTGTATCAGAACAAGTACAAAGTGTTTTGTTTTGTTTTTACCTTTTCGCATGTAATTAGCTTATAAAGGAGCAATAAATTGCATTCAGGACTTCACAATAAAAGTAGATTGGATGCGAAAGAGTTTGAAGACTGTATAGTTAAGTTAGTTAATTATGCAGCCTCCGTCTTAAGTCAGTGAGTCATTGCTTCTTTCTTTAGCTTCCTTTTCTTTTTTAATGCCAGAATGGACAGTGCAACGTAAAGGCTGCAGCGTGTCCTGCCCCGTGAGGTGTTGACTGTTGACTGTGTAATCGCCGTAAAGCTATAGATAAACTCCACTTAGCTTCTCTTGCCACATCACATCTTTTTTTGGAATGAGGAAGTTATGTATTAAATTCTATTTTGAAATACTTGATTTAATTTCTATGAATTTTAATTTCTAACATCTTGTTAGTGACTGTTGTGGTATTTCATTAACATTTCTTTGAAGGAGTATTTTATCTGGTATGTCAGCTATATAAAGAAGTCAACTTTTTAAGGAATTAGTATCACATGTGGTACCAATATTATTAACAAATGTAACCTCTCATCTGGGAAACCAATTTAAAACTAAGGTTAGAGATATACTACGATAAGCTGAGTCAAATAGTAAAAGTTTAATCCTTAGCAGAATCTCAACATCGTGATGATCTGAAACTTAGATCTCTGACATATTACCAGTTTGTCTTTCTGTATTTGAAGTCATCCTCTGCCAATTTTGACTTTGACAAAAAAGACTGGTTTTGGTACTGTTTAAACCAGAAAGAAGAGTTTGGTCTATTTAGATAACAAACTCTTTATCTTCTTGTGTGTACTGGGAATTCATTTTTAAAAGAGAAAGTATGTGAAGAACCTGAAGTGATGACATATATTTTTAGAGATGAACCCAGATGAACCCACATTCTCACCACCTAAAGTCTGTCATTTGCATTAGGATTCACTCTGTGGGTTTTGACAAAAGTATAATACATGTATTCATCATAATAGTATCATGTAGAGTCGTTTCACAGTCCTAAAATTCCCCTGCAGCCTGTCTGTTCATCCCTCTCTCCCTGCAACTCCTAGTAGCCACCATCTTTTTACTGTCTCCATAGTTTTGCCTTTTCCAGAATGTCATAAAGTGGAATCATCCAGTGTGTAGCCTTTTCAGATTGGCCTCTTTCACTTAGTCATATGCATTGATGTTTCCTCCGTGTCTTTTCATGGCTCTATATACTTGTTAGCACTGAATAGTACTCCTTTGTCTGGACATACCATCTAGTTTGTTTTATCCATTTAGCATAATTTTTTAGAGTATTTGAAGATGAGGTAGTACTTTCCTGTGCCTTTACACCCTAAGTATCAGCCATCTCTCTTGTCTGTGGCCCAGCCGGAATACAGTCCCAATTTTGTCATTCAGATCTGCGGCAACACTCCACAGGAAAGCCCTCCGGGCAGAATGAGGCTGTTGGAAGTGGAGCTTATTTACTCCTAGACAGGCTATGTGAATCTGCACAGGACACAGTTCTGTTATTGGAAAATCTCTTAATTATTATCTCCATGAGGAAGAGCAGTGTAATGAAGCATTGTGGCTTTTAATTAAGCAGCTTTTCTTGTGGATCTTTTCATCAATTTAATTTTCTCTGACTTTATTTTCCTTTCAAATCTCTCACACTATGGCCCAGTCACTTCTAACTTATTTTTTCCCAGCCACCAGACCCACGCAGGTATGTGCCTTTGAGTGATGTTTCTGTGTTGGCCTAACCTAAACTCATAAATTGTCTAACTTTTTGTCTTATTCTTCAGTCCAACAAAATAAGATTTGGAAGAGTTTTTCTCCCTAATGATTAAATGACTACATGTATCAAGAAAAATTCCTTCCCCTTTTCACTAGAGTACTTTCTAGCATGGTGTGGCTTATTGAAAAGAATGAAATACCGCGTTTCACAAAACATATGCTGATTTAAAGGATTTAAAGGAATGAAAAAGTAGATTGTGCAGAAAGAAATAAGAAGTTCAACAAAAATGAGTTATCAGAGACTTGAAATATGGGGCAAAGGAAGATGATATCTGCTGGGCTCACCATCAGTGGGTTAGGAATATTGCAAAGCCCTGTAGCCAGTGGCTAAAAGATGGCTTGTGCTTATAATATGGCGTATTACTGAAGAATTCTTCACCTCTGCAGTGGCTCCTAGAATCTGATTATCTTAAATGTGAAATTAGGCAGTTATATAGAGGCAATTTAATATTATAATATTTATATCTTATATATAAAAAATATCAAAGAAAATAGTTTAGGAGCCTTTGCCATTTCATAAGTTAGGAAACAAACTGTAAGAGTAATACAATTTCTTTCTTTTTCTTTCTTTTTTTTCCCCTTGAGACAGTGTTTTCCAGGCGAGGATGCTGTGGCGTGAGCCTAGCTGTTAGCAACCTCAAACTCCTGGGCTCGAGCAGTCTTCCTGCCTTCGCTTCCCAAGTAGTTGAGACTATAAGCACCCACCACAAGGCTTGGCTAATTTTTCTATTTTTGTTAAAGATGGGGGTCTTGCTCTTGCTCAGGTGATCCTCCTGCCTTGGCCTTCCAGAGTGCTAGGATTATAGGAGTGAGCCACTGTGCCTGGCTTTAAATTTCTTATAAAGTAAGTTTTTCTAAAGAAGTAAAGTAAATGCCTATAAAATATTTTTCTGTAACAAAAGGTCTGCTGCCCACATTTAGGGTTTGACTTCATTAATCTAAAGGATGTGATTTGAAGGCTATTTCTTTTCCTTCTCAGATAATGAGAAAGTTAGACAGCTACTTCTGGAGGGTGTGCCTGTGGAGTGTACGCATAGCTTTATCTGGAACCAAGATATCTGTAAGAGTGTCACAGAGAATAAAATCTCGGATCAGGTAATTAATAATGTAAGGGTTATTGGTAAAGTTGTGAATGACAGGTTATATTCTTCAATTTAGAGACCCTAAAAAGTCCATATTTTGTAGAATCCCATAGATTTGCTTTTATTTTCAAACAAGTTGTTGATAGCTTACTCAAATATACTGTGATATTTTTTTTCTGTTCTGAGAGGTAAGAATTTAAGAATAAGGATACATACTGTGAGCTTTTTCTGCTCTTAGGGATAAAATGAGCATAATCTTTAGAAAAAGTTAACAAAGATTTTTTTTTTGAAATGATGATCTCATGGTTTAAATATGTTTTTCATTTTATTTTTTCTAAATATTCTCTGTCTCTAATTTTACTATGATTGAACTCCCACCAGGGTCAGGCATTGTTTTAAATGCTGGAATAGATGACTGGGATCCTGTAGAAGGGGTACAGAGGCTGGGCTCCTGATGGAGGTGCTGGTATTTGAGCTGAGTCTCAGGTGGGAGATAGAATTAACCAGACTTTAGGGGGGGTAAGGCTAAGGCTGCAGTGGAAAAAAGATTGTAGGAAATGAGAACATTGTATGCAGGGTTCTAACCCCAAACAGTGTTGTGTTTGTGAATCTTCAAGTAGATCAGGAAGATGGAGTTGAGGGTGGGGCAAGAAGTGAAACTGAACAGATAAACAGGAGCCAGAACATAAAAGATCTTGAGGCATTTGAAGGATTTGGACTGGAGTTATAGGGTACCCCTGAAGATTTTAAGGCAGGTCATTGCCACAATGAAATTTCACTCTGGCAGCAGTGTGGATGGGAGTGAAATTGGCCAGACTTGGTAGTTGGTTAGAAGATAGGAGGTGAGAAGGGAGGAGATGTGTAGATTAGTTATTAACATTCTAGTTTGGGTTTAAGATCTCAGCTTAAAGAGAGCCAGAGCCATGTCTGACTTGCTCACTGCTATATTCCCGGGTTCTAGACAAGTGCTTGGCACATACAAGGTGCTCAGTAAATAACCAAATGGATGAATGAGTGAAGCGTGTGCATTGTGGCATCATTCAACGAGGTGGAGACCACAGGAGAAGAGCAAATAGGATGGGAGAGATGATGAGTTCAGTATTGGATAAACACAGTTTATCCAAGAGGCTCTGGGACTCTGCAGGAGGTAGGGTTAGATCCCAGGAGGAAAAGTCAGGGCTAAAGAGATACATATTTTGAAACTACCAACTTAGAGATGGTAGTGGAAACTTGACCAAAGGTGAAAAAAGAGCAATTAGAACTTGGACCTGGCTTGAAGGGCATTCATGAGGTAGCAGTTAGATTTCATAGCATGCAGGCAGTCTCTTGCACAGTTTTTCTAAATTAAGTGATAGTCCTCCTATCTATCTGTTAATCCCTTTTTATAGCTCCAAGAAAAGTCTGAAAGGATGTTACTATCCATTCCCTACATTCCCCTTAACAGGAATTTATGGTACCTTTTATTTTAAATCTTTAATACCTGGTGAGGAATTTCCAGAGTATTTTTCCTGTTGCTCATCCTTGAGAAGTTTTCACTTATTTTTTCATACTTTTTTTTACTTCATGCCAATAAACCTTAGTCAGAATAAATGTAGGGGCACAGTATCAAAATATAAGATTAATCTTGATTTAAGAGATTAGCAGAATGAAAGTGTATTGTTTTATAACTTTGAATCATGTAGCATATTCTAGCACAAGTTTAGCAAATTTAAGGTAATTTGACATTTTCACACACTTGTCTAGAGGAAACTCTGTATCTGTAGGAAGAATGCCTTGTATATCAAATGGCTTGCATTTATTTATTGAGAACTTTTCCCCTTGCTTTTTAAAAGAGCATTTACCTGTCTAAAGCTGCTGTTAGGGGGACCCGACTCTTCCAGAAAAGTAGGGTTGTTTGTCTTGAATTATTTTCTTCTACTTTAGGATTTAAACCGGATGAGAAGTGAATTGCTGGTACCTGGGTCACAGCTTGTTTTAGGTCCCCGGGAATCCAAGATACCTATACTTTTGATTCAGCAGCCAGGAAAAGTGACTGGTGAAGACCGACTAGGCTGGGGAAGTGGCTGGGATGTCCTGCTTCCAAAGGGCTGGGGCATGGCTTTCTGGATTCCATTTGTAAGTTATTTTTTGATTTTGACTAATAGTTGCAAACTTTAAAATACATTCCTAATCAATACTAAGTGCTGAAAATGTTCCAGACTTGACTGTACAACTTAGAAATTGAATGATATATTTCTACCCTTAGAGCTATAATCCTGGGTACAGGATAGTTGGTCTCTGGAGCCAAGTTCTTGTATAAGACCTGTGCTGCTGTATTGGGAATTGTTGAGGTTTTTAAAGTGCCTGATTTTTGAATAGGGGAGTGGCAGCAGAATGTTGAGGTTTTTGACTTGAAGAAATTTGTTAAAATTTGGAACAGTGGTTCTCAACCTTCCTAATGCCATGGCCCTTTAATACAGTTCCTGTGGGTTGCGACCCACAGCTTGAGAACCGCTGGTTTAGTAGCAAAAGATTTAATGTATAGAATATGCTTTTTGTTTTTTAAAAATGTTAACTATAACCATCTGTTCTTATTTATCAACTGAAGCTAAAAATTTTTATTAAAATCTAATGATTTTTTTCTTTTTTCCTGGTTATCTTAAATAATTACTTTGATGTTACGGAGTATAAGACGGTTAGATTCATGTTGGTAATTGATTTTTAGAATGCTTTGTGGAAGGGACATTTACTTAATCATTTAGGAGTGGAAATATTTTTAAATCATTCTACATTTTTTTTTTTTTTTGCAGCTGTGGCCAGGGTTGGGTTTGAACCCGTCACCTCTGGCACATGGGACATGGGTACATTTTTTAGTATGAAATACTTAACATATTCAAAAAAAGAACAGGGATATAATAAATAGCTGTGTACCCTTCACCTACTGTCCAGCTTACAAAATAAAACATAGATTCATTGAAGTACCCTGTGTACCGCTCTCCAATCTTGTATCCTTTTTTCCTTCTAAAATGATCACTGTTATGCTTTTGGTGTTTGTCACTACCATCTGTATTTTTATAGCTTTATTTAGTAAGTGCATATCCCACAATAAAATAACTCTATTTGACATGTTTGAAAACTATGCACCTCACTGTATATATGCTTTTGCAACTTACTATATTCATGTGGCATTGAGCTTTTCCCATATTGATTGATGAAGCTCGATTTCATTTATTTTTATTGTTGTATGGTAAACCATTGTAGGCTTATCCCACAATATATTTAACCATTTTCCTTTTGATGGTCATTTAGGCTGTTTCCCATTTTTCCCATATAAACAATTAAGCAATTCCACTTTCAGTTGGTAAATTGACAGTAACTTTTTGATATTTCTTTTAGATCTATCGAGGTGCAAGAGTTGGAGGATTAAAAGAGGATATAGTACATTCTCAGTATAAAAGGTCACCCAATATCCCAGGTGATTTCCCAGACTGCCCTGCGGGGATTCTGTTTGCTGAAGAGCAAGCTAAGACTCTTCTTGAAACGTACAAAAGGTAAGAAACTGGGTTCTCTCCTGAGAAGAGAAGAAGTGCCTGCTCATGGTGGCCAGCCAAGCTGGGGAAGGCTTTGTTAATTCTTATTCTATAATTTGCAGGTTTCATAGACTTTTCCTTGAGTTTAGCATTACTGAGAAGTAATTAAGAAGATATTACTTAATTCAGGAGATTGTTTTATGGGGTTTTATAGGCCCATCCAGGTTACAAACCCTTCTCTTGGTTATTTGCTTACATTGATCGTGGAGTAGTCCTGAACTGGATGTGAGTTTCATATACTGTTAATAAAGTCCTACTAATAGGTCTTTCCCATGGAAATTGTGTTGTTTAAAAAATGGATTATAGAAATAATGGATATTTATAAAATCTTAATGAAACTATGGAAATATATAAAGTATTTTTTAAACTGGGGTAGTCCTGCCATACAGAGATAGATATAAATACTGTTCTTATTAGTATCTATCCATCTAGACTTTTTTCTTCTTTTTTTCATTGGAAGTGTGGCCAGTGGAGGGCTTTATTTCCTTAATATGAACTATATTCTAACATCAGGAACCTCTTTTTCTCAATTTTAAGTTGTAGGCTCCCAGAAGCACAGAAATTCTCATGGCATCTGCAGTGTCTAGCCACTGCATGGTGCTCAGTAGGGTCTGAACAATGAGTTTTATTTGTTGTCTGAACAATGACTCAGTAATTGAATGTTGTAATTTCTCGACTGTGGTGTCTGGCAGGGCAGGATTGGGTTTTCCTATTCACTGCTGCAACCGCAGAGGCAGGCAGAAGGCCTGGGTCATTTGTTGAATGATAGATGAGTGAATAAATGGAGGGATGAGTGCGTGGATAAATGGTCACACACTGCTGGACTACTAGCTACCAGAACCTGTGGGCAGTGATCATGTGTTGTATATCCTGTGCCATGTTATAATATGTACTTGAAGGTCTTCTATGTGCCTGTCAAATAATAATTGACAATAATGCTTATTTCTCACTCTTTAAGCATTCTTTTATTCATGTAAATTTTCTATAGATACAGAAACTTTTTTTTAAAAAGGATGGTACTTTATATACTATTTGGAAACCTGGCCTTTTCATTTAATAATAAATTATGGATAGTTTTTCCATATAAAAAATAAGGCTATAAACAAAATCTTGACAACCTTTTTTGGTAGAGAGCAAAATGATAAATATTTTTGGCTGTGTGGATACTGCAGTCTCTGTGACAACTACCCAACTCTGCCACTGTGGCACAAAAAGCAGCCACAGATGACATATAAACGAATGAGCAGGGCTGTGTTCCAATCACATTTTGTTTATGGACACTCAAATTTGAATTTCATATAATTTCACGTGTCATAAAATATTATTCTTTTGGGTTTTTTTTCCCAACCATTTGAAAATGTAAAAACCATTCTTAGCTCATGGGTTGTACAAAAACAGACAGCAGGCCCTATCTGGCCTGTGAGTCATCGCCTGCCTGCTCTTGCTCAGAATGTAACTCTGAATGGTCACATAGGATTGCAGTGTGGACACATTATCATTTATCGGTGGCCCTTAAGGTTATTTCCAATTTTTTGCTGTGCTTCTGTAAACATCTTCCTGTGTACATCTTCACACACAGGAAGATGTGCTATTCATTCATTCAGCACATATGTACTTAGAGCTTACTGTGTGTCATAACCATTCTAGGCACTGGGGCTTCCAGGGACAAGGCAGACAAGTCTTTCTCTGCCTCTGTAGAGCTTATACTCTTGGTGGAAGCAATGTTTCTAGGGTGGTGGGGAGGGCCCCGGAGAGGAGAGAGAAGCTGAAATTCAAGAGCCAAGCCCTTGATGAACAGGGAAGAGGGGGTGGCATCTGATAGGCTCAGACTCCGTTCTTACAGTATACTAGGCACTTCGGCTGCTTCCGAAATCTGAACACTGATGTAGGGAGGTTAGGTTCCATGGTGGGGAGATCATGTAGCACTCTGCTGATTGTGACTGTCTTCGTGGGAAAAGAGGGGAGATAATCAACCAGGAGTAAGAGCAAGAGAGAAGAACTGATGTAAACAGTTTCTGGGAGAGTAGAAGATTGAATTGACTGGAGAAATGTAAGAGATCTATAAGGAATGTCTGAGAGCATCCACTTGAGATCTGTGTTTATAAAGTAAGACCATTCAGGACCATTTTGTGGTCTTCCTCAGCTGTGTTCTTGCCACATAGGTGCTGGCATGGGGTTGCTAGAGGAATTGGCTGCAACCGGTTGGGTTTGCCACCCAAATTTCAGTAGCTTAACATCATGAATGTTTTATGGTTTCACTTGTGAAACAGTTGAGTTTGGTGGTCTTGCCCAGGGCCTGGGGTTTCAGAAATTTGGTTGCCTTCTGTCCTGTGGTTTCTATCTCCCCGGGGCTGAGAGGTCTTTTGCATATAGCTGGCAGAGGGAGAAAGAGCATGGAGAATATGGGCTAAGCCTCGGAGTGGGGAGCATGTCACTTCCCCTGAGATTCTGCTGGCCATAAGGAAGGTGAGGACGTGTAACCTAACAGTATGTGCAGGAAGAAGAAATGAATTCAGGGAAAACCCTGAGTAGTGTCTGCACAAGGATGAACTGAGTTAAAATTGCAGAGTACTTAGAACAGCAATGGCATGTGGTAAGTGCTCAATAAGTAGCTGGTGTTGTTGCTGTTATTTTCTACAGTTTCTGAAACTTTTCTACAAAACAGTAAGCCATTTCTGACGGCCGTCCCCCAGCCCTTCCCTCCCACCATGTGTATTTTCCTACTTCTCCTAATATTGCTGTATGGGGAGAGCAGGGGAGCGTGTCAAGTAGCTCCCTCTACCTCATGATCTGATATCTCTTTGATTTAAATATGAAATTTTGTGAGAATTTGATTAATTTGTATTTACCTTTTTTCTGAGATGAAAAGAGATGTTTCTTCCTTGACAGCCCAACCAACATTCAGATTATATTTTGTCTCCTTAGTATCCTTTTCATATTTATTACTGAGCGTGAACTAGGAAATTGCCTCTAATCCTAGGTTATCTTTTCTTTAAGCTTTTAATTCTATGTAGATCTGTAAAACTCAAAGCAGTTTGTAAGAATACTGTGCTCTTCTGCCCTGAGTTACAGACTACATATACTGTGAATAAAATGAGTTTTCCAATCAAGGGGCTGAAATGGATGTACATGGTTATGCGTTTGGGCTTTGAAAGGTCTCTGGGTGAGGCTGGTATCTGGGATTGTTTTATCAGCTGCTTCTCTTAGGAGGCCAGTAAGTCTCCTGAAGAGGTTCAACCTTCAGAGAACAGGCTTAGGCTATGAGTGAACACCGTTGATCAAGCCTATGGTTTCATTTCCATTTGTGGTCCTAGGACAGGACACATGGTTAAGAAGTGCAGGCAGGAATATCCCAGAGCAGACCCTCAACCTGAGAATGTAGTCTTAGACTGCTGAGAGTACTCCAGGCCAGAGTGGCCAACAGCCAGGCCAGTCCCTACTTCTTGGGATCAGTCCCTGGTTTTCACTAGTTCATAGTATTTCTCAAAGGTTTTATTTCATGCTGGAAAGGTCAACCGGTATCACCCTTAGGGAGAACAATTTACATTATCTGCCAAAATAAAAAATGCTAGTTCTCTTTGCCTTAGCAGTTCCACTCCCAGAAACTTGTCCTGTGGATATACTTGTGCACCCGCAACATGTTCAAGGACATTTACTGCAGCATTGTTTATAGAAACAAAAGCTTGAAAGTAACCAAAATTTCCTTCAATAGAGGATAGTCTATATAAATTAGGGGGTATAAGATACTGAACCTTTTACAAAAGAATGAGGGAGCTTTCTGTATTGATGTAAAATCATCTTCAAGACATTTTGTTAAATGAAAAAAGTGAAGTTAACTAAAAAGTACTATATCTAGTATGTAACCATTTGTGTAAAAATAAGTAAAAAGAAAATATGTATATATCTGCTTATATGTACATAAAATGTTGCTGGGAGGATATATAAGAAATTGATACTGACATTGTCTTTGAGGAGGGCAGTGGGTCACTAGAGGTCAAAAGTGAGAGAGATACTTCACTGTAATCTTGAACTTATAGAACCTTATAAATACATAGGACATCATTGCAGCACTCCAGGAGCACCAGTTATTGCAATAGTAGCTTCCAGTGGCCACATGGGCTACATTGTAGAGGCATTATCTATTGAAGACCAAGTAAAACATAAAACTTTGGCCATTAGAATTGATTATTTAATACTCGAATTATATATTTCTTGGAAAGCTTTTTTTTGGTGTTTGCTGATAGAGTTGCATTATAATGGCCACAATTATTTTGTCCAATACTGAATTGTTCAACATTGGTTCTCCTCTTGTCTTTCATTAGACACCCTCCTGCCAAACGGCCCAACTATGTTAAGCTTGGCACTCTGGCCCCTTTCTGCTGCCCCTGGGAGCAGTTAACTCAAGACTGGGCAGCAAGAGTCCAGGCTGAGGAAGAATCTTCTGTAGCTTCATCTCCATGTGGTGAGCAGAGTAACCTACGAAGACATAAAGTGTCTTGTGCTCTCATGCCCAAAACAACTCAGCTATCTGATGAAGTGGGCACACCCATACACCACCCCAGGGAGCCAGAAGAAGTAATGGACACAGAATGTCAAGACCAGGCAGGGGTCAAGAAGGTAACAGACCAGGAAGTCAGTGAGAACCATATTGCTGCCACTGGTAATCATCTCTGTGTTCTCAGGTGAGTGCAGATGACTTCTGGACCCATTTTGCATTGTTTATTTTAATATTGAACAGGTTCTGGGATATAAAAATTCTCACTGTTCCTTTATGCAAAACCCAAGTGAATTTATGGACTTTCTGGAAGGGAAAACCAGTCTTTTGATTTTCATAGAGGGAAATAGCTTAATATTTGATGTAGGGCATGCTAGTAATTGATGAAATGATTTAAAATATTGTTATCAACAGACCTAAGCCAAATCATTCCTTGCTTTAAAGTATCACTGAATTGGGTGGCGCCTGTGGCTCAGTGGGTAGGGCACTGGCCCCATATAGCAAGGGTGGTGGGCTCAAACCCGGCCCCAGCCAAACTGCAACAACAACAACAACAAAAATAGCTGGGTGTTGTGGCGGGCATCTGTAGTCCCAGCTACTCAGGAGGCTGAGGCAAGAGAATCGCTTAAGCCTAGGAGTTGGAGGTTGCTGTGAGCTGTGACACCATGGCACTCTACGGAGGGTGATAAAGTGAGACTCTGACTCTACAAAAAAAAAAAAAAAAAAATCACTGAATTAGTTCCTTCTAGCTTTTTTTGAATTATATGAATTGGTGGCAGATCAGCAACCCATTCCGAGTAAAGTTGGCCTCGCCTTCTTCAAGGCTACCACATAGAATGTGTCCTCCTCTCAGTACTGCTACAGGCTAAGTTCTATTCAACGGCTTCTTTATATTCTGTGCTCTGATTTTTAAAAAGTGCTCTTCCTCCCATCCTCATACCTACTTTCCTGTATTGTAACCTCATAATTTTATCTTTTTTTCTTACTTTATAATTGTCTCTTAAGAGTTTTTCTCATTAAAATATCAGTTCTCTTTGTTTTCATCATCTCACTGTGATTACAACCCTAAATTTTATGTTTTATTTTTCTCTGCTTTCAACTTCTTAAACTTTTAGTCTTTCAGTTTCAGAATGGCAGACACATAAAAAGAAAACTATCATTACTAAAGTATATGAAAGTATATTTTTAAATTAAAAAAAATATTTTGATACTTTCTTACATATAGTATAAAAAATCAAATTAACTCTAGCAATGTCTAATCTTCTAATTGCATATTTCTTCCTTGAACAAAATAATCCTTAAATGTGTGTCTTCAACTTCTTATAGGAGTAGAAAATTACTGAAGCAGCTGTCAGCCTGGTGTGGGTCCTGTTCTAGGGACAATCGGGCAGCCTGGCGAGCTGCCAGCAGAGGCCAGCCAGCATTGACAAAGGAGGCCTGCCTGTCTGTCTTGGAGCACTTCCCCAGGGCCCTGGTGTGGGTCAGCCTGTCCCTGCTCAGGAAGGGCAGCCCGGAGCTGCACACCATGATCTGTGTCCCAGCCCAGGAGGACCTCTTCCAGCTCAGTCAGGATCGGCAATACTGTGGGCCCCAGGAATCCAAACACAGCGACCCATTCAAGAGCAAGATCCTGAAACAGAAAGAGAAGAAGAAAATGGAGAGAAAGCAGAAGCAGGAACAGGCTGTTTCTGAGGGCCTGGCAGTGGAGGATCCTGCATTGGGGCAGGAAGATCTGACTCTGGGGCTGTGGTCAGGCCCTCTCCCGCCTGTGACTTCCCACTGCTGTAGAGCTCTCCTAGGCTTTGTCACCCAGGGAGATTTTTCCATGGCTGCGGGCTGTGGGGAAGCCTTGGGGTTTGTTAGTTTGACAGGCTTGCTGAATATGCTGCTGAGCCAGCCAGCAGCAGAGAGGGGCTTGGTGTTACTGAGGCCTCCTGCTTCTTTGCAGTATCGATTTGCCAGAATTGCTATTGAGGTATGAATGTGGCTTATATCCCAGCAGGAGAGCCCTGTTTTCCCTGTCTTTTGCTCCATATTCCTTGGAAACAAGAATAAAAAATGATATGCAAATTATGAAATATTTATGTCATTCTAGTAATTTCACTAGTTTTCAGCTTTCCTTATCCTTGCTATAATACTTTTAAATTATTTGGCGTGTGTAGCCAAAACTTTTTATATTGTGATCTCTTAATTTTATTCTTTTTTTTTTTTTGAGACAGTCTCACTATGCCACCCTCTTTAGGGTGCTGTGCCATCACAGCTCACAGCAATCTCAAACTCTTTGGGCGTAAGCGATTTTCTTGCCTCAGCCTCCCAAGTAGCTGGGACTACAGGTACCCACCACAATAGCCAGCTATTTTTTTTGTTGCACTTGTTTAGCTGGCCCAGGCTGGGTTTGAACCTGCCACCTTAGGTGTATGTGGCTGGCGCCTTAACCTCTGTGCTATGGGCGCTGAGCCCTCTTAGTGTAATTCTTGCTTCTGAAAATAATTAGAAGCTGTATGTTTTCATCTCTATTTTTGTTATTGTTAGGGATAAAGGTCTATCAGGTCTATTTGAAAATCATATAATAGGCAACATAGATGTTTAATGATTTGATTGCTACAGAAGAGGAAAAGATTGTAAACACTTGGCCTTTGTACCAGAAATATGGGCCATGTTCAATTCTGCATAATCAGCAAGCCCAGCACCTGATGCCATAGAGAAATAAAGGAATGGACGATTTATTGCTGCTTACTTTCAGGCAGGCTCAGATTCCGGCCAAAATGCTGGGCTGGAGTTAGAAATGGGGTTCCATACCTTTATAACTCAACTGACCTGTTTGTTGTTGATCTACACGTGATCCTAGGAGTTATTTTGTTTCTTAAATAAAATTTTTTTTTGTTATTTCTGTAAAGAATTTCCCAAAGCCATAGAGAAGAATTTCTCTCAACATTTTCTGTGAAAAGTGTTGCCTAAAACAAGATTCTAAGGTGACGTTGATTTGGGAAACTCTGGGTTAAACATTTCTTCATTTTAACCTTTTGACTGTGAGCAACACAGGTGTTCAAACAAGATGTTTGGTGTGAAAGATGCCTGTAGGCATGTTTCATTTCTGAGCACTCTGCAAAGGGTGAAAGGACTTCTGGAAACTTCCATGTGATAAAGTGCATGGGGAATCTCCAGGAAGTAGATGATAGTGTACGGTATTTTCTAAATCGTTTTGATCCCCAAACTCCTTTTACAAAGTGCTCTGTAGGCTCAGTGTTCTTAGGAGTTGTCTTGGGCAACATGCAAAAGCTACCTCTGCAAGGGGATAGCTACAATGGCAAGCCGCATTGCAACACTGAAGCTGTCGCCTTGTCCACCTGATGCTTTGAGCTCTCAGCCTATCCTGTAGGAAGAGTGGGCTCATCTCTGCTTTTGTCCACCTGTGGATAAACTCAGTGGCTCATCAACTTTTAGTGGCTGTGTATGTCTCCTTCATACCCTCGGTCCTTACTTTCTTGCAGAGGCTGAGAGGGATTTTTTTTATCTTAATTTACATTCACTTGGTATTATTTCACATAAACTTTGCATTGGGTTTTTGCAGTGGTATTTAGCAGTAAATGTCTTTGTGGGTGATGAATTTGGGGGAAGACACAGTGAGTGTTAAGCAGTCAGAAAGTGCCTTGAGCCCATGATTTTTTCCTTGCACCATGCCTCTTAATGTTTTTGGGTCTAATCCCAGCAAGACTGAGGGAAAAAAACCAGCGTAACTAAGTGGCATCTGTACACAGAATAAAATGTCACTTGATATTCAGTTGTGAATATTGATTGGACCATTCCTTATTTGTTTTCTGGGCTCAAAGTCACTTCATCTGTGGCTTAGCTCACTTGCTGACAGAAGTCTGGTCACCTAACCTCATTCTGGACTGCACCCTGCTGGGGTCTGCAACACTGCTGCTGATAGAGGGTACAGGACAGATCTGCAGTCACTCTGCTTGGCAGGTGGTGGATACTGAAAAGATAGACTAGCAGTCCCAAAATGTATTCTTGGGAGTAGGGTTCCTGCACCTATTCCTGGAAAAAAGTATTTCATGGCTAAATAAATTTGGGAAAAGCTATGTACAGTATTCTATTGCAGACTCAAAATGAATGTTAGTGGAGTCAAGCCTCTGCAAATCTCTGTAGGAAACAAACCTGCCTTTTTTGGTTTTTGCATAGCTACTGTCCAGAGAACGTTAGTTTTACAGAGCATACTTTGAAAAACTGACAGAATCTGCAGGCAGGCAGTAAAGAATCCATGTCTGTTATTAAAAAGACTGCTAAAGGGGGCGGCGCCTGTGGTTCAGTGGGTGGGGCGCTGGCCCCTTGTACCGAGGTTTAGGTCCCGCCCCAGCCAAACTGCAACAAAAAATAGCCGGGCATTGTGGTATATGTGGCTGGTGCCCTAACCACTATGCTACAGGCACCGAGGTGGGTAGTTTTCTTTTCTAGCTGGGCCTGTGGTCCCAGCTACTCAGGAGGCTGAGGCAGGAGAATCGCCTAAGCCCAGGAGTTGGAGGTTGCTGTGAGCTGTGATGCCACATCACTCTACTGAGGGCTATAAAGTGAGACTCTGTCTCTATAAAAAAAAAAAGAGTGATTAAGGAATGATTTTACTTTCTGTGGCAACTGAATCAAGGATGTGTTTGTTTTGATTCTACCACGTACCCCAGCTACCGATAAAGTACAACATGGCCCTTGACCTCTGGGTTGAAAGGGCAACAATTTCAGGGTTCACAGTCAGGAAGAATCCTAAAAGACAGACTTGGAAGCTGAACACTCAGAGACCAGCTATACTGTATTTCAGTTGTATAAGAAAGAGAATTGATTCTTTTTGTGTGATTTTCCTGTTTTCTGTTCATTATCATTATTCTTTTCTTTTTAAAACCCAGCGCTCACTATGTCGCTCAGGCTTGAGTGCACTGGCAGTCAGTATCTTAGCTCATCGTAGCCTCAAACTCCAGGGCGCCAGTTATCATTCTAGTCACTGACTTGCTAGGACTATAGGCACGTGCCAGCATGCCCGCCTAATTTTTATTATAAACATTTTTTTGTAGGTGAACTTTTCAAATTTTTTTTTAGAGATGTGGTCTCTGTATTGCCAGGCTGGTCTGGAACTCCCGATCTCAGGCGATCCACTTGCCTCAGCCACCCAAAATGCTGGAATTACAGGAGTAAACCACTGTGCCTGGCCTATATTATTTTGTGTTACATCAGTAATTCTGTTATATCAATCATACATATTCATCATAGAAAAATTAGAAAATTAAGCAACAATAATAAAATGTAAATCATCTGTATTTTCACCACCCAGACATAACCACTTACCTCCTGACGACATCATGATACAAGGTACATATCCTTAGGCATTAAGATGCATTTGGGTAGTTTTTTTTTTTTGAGACAGTTTCAGTATGTTGCCCTTGGTAGAGTTCTGTGGCGTCACAGCTCACAGCAACCTCCACCTCTTGGGCTTAAGCAATTCTCTTGCCTCAGCCTCCCAAGTAGCTGGGACTATAGGTGCCTGCCACAACGCCTGGCTATTTTTTTGTTGTAGTTGTTTAGCTGGCCCAGGCTGGGTTTGAACCCACCACCTTTGGTATATGTGGCTGGTGCCCTAACCACTATGCTACAGGCACCGAGGCAGGGTAGTTTTCTTTTCTTTTTCTTTTTTTTTTTTGACCGGGGCCGTGTTTGAACCCACCACCTCCGGTATATGGGGCGACCTACTTCTTTGAGCCACAGGTGCTGCCCAGGGTAGTTTTTTTTTTTTTTAAATAGTGCCTGATGAAAAACCTGTACCATGCAAAGGTAGCATAAGGGTTGCCAGTTCCTTGTGGAGTTTCATTGGCATGAATGAATTAATGTAATCTTCCTTTTATTGGTAGCCTTGCCGTCTTGGTGGCCACATGGTATAAGTTCTTTCTTTCTAGCCAGTGGGAAGTGAGGGGGGCGGTTGACAGGCAATGGGGCTTCCTAGTAGTCTTAACTGCCATACTCCTAGCCAGCCAATCCAAAGCCTGGGGAGCATAGAGCTAGGTCCAGGGCTGAGCTGCTTAGCAGGTATTACAAAACCGAAGCAACTGCAGGTCACGCAGAGCAGCACCAGTTATACGGTGAGTCCCGTGCCGCAGGCCTCCCCGAACATAGGGGAACATAGGTGCTATCTTTTCTTTGGGAACAGTGGCTTTCAAGCTTGGCTATACATTAGAATCACAGGGATAGCCCAAGCTGCAGCCTAGAAATCAATCTCAGGTTGGGCCCAAGCATGAATATTTCTTAAAATCTCCCCAGGCCATGGCCATGTGCAGTGTGGGTTGAGAATTCCAGCTTTAGGAGGTCTCACTCTTTGGACTTTCCCCACCTTGCGAAAGTGTGAATGAGTTAGGAGGCCATGGATGCCCCAGAACTCTTGTCCTTTTAGCCGGCCTGCTTGTCGGTATGAAAATACATTTCCGCAGTGTCAGCTTACAGGGTCTGTTGACTGCATTGTGGAGTATCCAGGTGGGAACTTAATGAGAACACAGTGTCAAGGGCTGAGTAGCTCGGAGTGGGAGCTTCTCCTGGGAAGAGGCCGAGTCTTCTAACAGCCAGGCTCATTACTTACATGACCTTCACTACTTGAGAATATCAAAAGAAGTCTTTTTTTGTTTGCTTTCTCTTAGTGCATATCCTTCTAGAACAGCTGTTCTCAGCCTGGGCTGCACATAGGAGTTACCTGAGGAGTTTCAAAAGCACTGGTGCCCACAGAGGCCCCCCACCTCCCCACTGGAAATGCTGGTTTAACTTGTCAAGGGTGTGGGCTGGACTCTGGGATTCTTAATTGCTCCCAGGTGACTTGAAGCCAAGGTTGAGAACCACTGTTCCAGACTTTTAAAGTGAGGTTCCATTGGCTTAGGCAAAGACACAGCTTATTAGTGACTGGGAATCGTGCAGGGCAGCAGGGAGCAGATGCAGACTGTCTGGAGGGGTGCACACAGCTGTTATTAATGGGCCCAGAGCGGGTCCTGCTGGAGCTGAGTAAATGGCTAAGTTCAT